CATGATGCTGAAGGTTTGGGGAATGGGTGATCCCATCACCCCAGGTAGTGAGCACAGCACCCAGTAGGGAGTATCTCAGGCCACACCTCCCAGCCCCTTCTCCCTCCAGTAGTCCCCCAGTACCCATTGAAAAATCAGTCTTTGGCCGGGCGTGGTGGCTCAAGCCTGTAATCCCAGCACTTTGGGAGGCCGAGGCGGGTGGATCACGAGGTCAAGAGATCGAGACCATCCTGGTCAACATGGTGAAACCCCGTCTCTACTAAAACTACAAAACATTAGCTGGGCATGGTGGCATGTGCCTGTAATCCCAGCTACTCAGGAGGCTGAAGCAGGAGAATTGCCTGAACCCAGGAGGCGGAGGTTGCGGTGAGCCGAGATCGTGCCATTGCACTCCAGCCTGGGTAACAAGAGCGAGACTCCGTCTCAAAAAAAAAAAAAAAAAGAAAAATCAGTCTTTGATTTTAGCCATTCTAGTGGGTACAAAGTTGTATTTCTCTGTGGTTTTAAGTTGAATTTCCTTGGTGGTGAATGAAGTCAAGCACTATTTAATGTGCTTTATGGTCATTTGTATCTTTTTTTTTTTTTGAGATGAAGTCTTGCTCTGTCACCCAGGCTGGAGTGCAGTGGTGCAGTCTTCACTCACCGCAGCCTCTGCCTCCCAGGTTTAAGTGATTCTCCTGCCTCAGCCTTCCGAGTAGCTGGGATCACAGGTGTGCACCGCCACGTCGGACTAATTTTTGTATTTTTAGTAGAGATGGGGTTTCTCCATGTTGGCCAGGCTGCTCTCGAACTCCTGACCTCAGGCGAGCCACCCGCCTCAGCCTCCCAAAGTGCTGGGATTGTAGGCGTGAGCCACTGCGCCCAGACTGTCATTTGCATATCTTTAGATGTCTTTTGAAGTCTTTTGGCCATTTTGTAATGTGGTTGTTTACTGTTGATTTGTTGTTGATGTCTTTGTATAACTTGGATACAAGTGCAGATACATAGCTGCAAAGATGTGTTTTCAGGTCTGTAACTTATCCATTATCTGAATGGTATCATTGGATAAGCAGAAATTTAAAATTCTGATAAAGAATTTTCTCAATTTTTCATTCATTTTACCAATTTTTTTTTTTTTT